AAGAGACAGCGCGAACGCGGCAGTAAAGCAGCAAATTAAAATAATGACTTGTTATAAAAGCAATTACCGCCGATGGGATCGCAGCCGCGCTGGAGGGGCTGTGCCAGCGCCAGGCTGCTCCGGGGCTCGCAGACCCGGCCCGTTCACGGCCACCGCGGGTGTGACGTCTGTAGGATCCCAGGAGGTTCTACGTCCCCCGCCGGGTTTCCAGCCGGGAAGAGCCCTCGGCAGCGTACGCTCTCCATAGGGGACGGCACAACGCACGCCTTGCTGGGATGGCCGGCAGAGTAGGCGCCTCTCTCCTACGCCGTTATCTGTACTCGCTGAGAACCTGCCCCACGTGCCTCTCTGTGCTGCATCTGATTCAGTGGGACTTCACCAGCCGCAGCTTGCAGGGAGCACGGAGGCACCGCGCTTTCCTCTGCAAAGGGGAACCTGGGAGATCAGAATGCCGGTGTTTAACCACGCAGGCTCGTGTGGCTGCTTGGCACTTTTCTTTTGCCCTGGCCACGTTTTTGCCACCTGCACCAGGGGAGAACCTCGGGCTGGTCGCTCGTATCCTTCCTGTTCCACAATGTTTGAACAAGGTGACCTTGGGACAAGGTCCCTCCTGGGGACGCACGGCAGCTGGGGCACAGTCACAGCTCAAGCTGCCACCAACCCGCTGCTGCTCCCGGGATGCCAGAACGCTTCCTGCAGCATCAGCCCGTCCAGACCTCAGCCCCGAGATCTCTTTCACACCCACAGAAGAGTTTGTGCACGTTCTGCCCCTGGACACCTCCTGCCTTTCTCTTCTCTCTCCTGCTCTGCCCTTTGGGCCTGGTGCCTGCCTCCCTGTTACGTTACTACCGCGGCCATCTCTGCTCACAGGAAAAGTCAGGGAGCGTCTGTTATTGCACGTTTCCAGAGCACGCCAGGTTCACGTGTCAGCGTGGCTTGCGGGTGCTGGTACGGTGTAAACAGCAGCACTAGCAGGGAGTGATCTACCTGGGGCTTACGTAACCTCCACAGCAGATGCTCCTCTGGGTTTTTTCCGCAGCCGCGCAGCTTTCAGTGTCAGCCCTCATCTGCCGGCCTGGAAGGAAACGCCACCTCCCCGCTCCTGTGACCTGCCCTGCAGGACAAGCCCAGAGCACCGGGAATAACCAGGGAAGCCAAATTATTTAAACACTAGCAGAACATCAGCATTCACCTCTGTTTCTCTAGGGACTTGGTACCCCAAAGCGTCTCTAGATGGGGTTTCTTTCACCACTGCATGGAAACGCAGCTGCGTCTTGGGCGAGACAGAGCCCACGCTGCCCCCATGCCGAGCACAAGCGGAGCTGCAGCCCCGCGGTACGGCCGGCCCCGGCGGGGGCTTGCTGGGGTTATCTTGGACCTGCCGCCACTGCGGCCCTGCACATCCCAAGATCCAGATGAGCCAATGCCCCACAACCCTTCCCGGCGACTGGGACGGCTGCAGCTGCGAAGCAGCACCCAAATTAAGTCTCAGCATCCGCCGCTGCCCACCCGGAGCAAACGGGCAGGACCCGCTCTGGCAGAGGCCACCGCGCTGCTCGGACCCGCGGCCACTCTCCCGCGCAGGGAGCGGGCAGGGGTGTTGTTCCCCATGGATGCTGACAGCCTCGCACGAAAAATAACCTGACTCTTCTGCGTGGAAAGAGCTACCAGCGACGTCCATCTCCCCCAGCCCTCCCCGGGCAGCAGAACCGCTAGGAGGATGTGTCCCAACAGATTCGGAGCTGATAAAATCTTATTTATCTTCAACTGTTGACACCGAAGCGTCTAGACTTGCCTGCTTCGGGAGGGCTGCAGCCAAGTCCTCCTTTCTCTCTTGAAGGAAATGATTTGCTCAACAATTACTTTTTCCACAAATCCTCCCCGCTCCTCCCTACCAGCCTCCTCCTCCTCCTCTTCTACATTCCACTCTCCTCATTAGCTCTACTCAAGACGTGTCCAGGACTGCAGTCAATGGATCCCAATAAAGCCACTAGCCTGGCAAGAGAGGGAGAAGAAAAGTGCTGCCTCCGGCTGCTAATTTCCTTGCGCTCCCCAGCAAGCAGCTGCGGAGCTGCATCCTGGGACAGGTTCGGACAGATCGCAGCGGAGAGGTGATAATAATGTGTCTGTCATCTTACCCAGGCATGTAGCATCTTGCAAACCGCAAATACCGTTAACCGGCTCGGACGAATCTGTTACAACAGATCCTGGAAGACATGCCGACTACAGAGCTAATTTTTTCTTTCTAATTTTTTTAATAACCATTTTCTAATCACCGGCCTGTATAACTTCTCACTGAGCTGGAAATTCCTCCCAAAGCTACTTTATTGCTCGTTTACCATGAGCTGGGTTCAAATATGTCCAGAGCATCGCTGCTGCCCGGGCGCAGAGCACCCAGCGGCACCCAAGGCAGGTGGGAGGGCTGGGCTGAACCCCGGGGACGGCTGGAAGGGGTCCCCAAAACCCACCTCCCCATCTCCTGCCCCGCGGCGGTGACGCAGCGGGGTGATGGCCAGGGGACCGGGTGATGCCCCGGATGGGGTGTTCTCGAGGGCCCTGGCAGAGCCCCCCTGTGCTGAGCCCTCAGTAGCTGCAGGGGACCCCTGTCACCTCCAGGACCCCCCCAGCCCTGCTCCCACGAGCCATGGACCACCGGCGACGTCCTGGGGCTGCCCCCACAGCAGACGGGGCGCGGAGAGGCTGCGTGTGCTCCGGCCTGCATTCTTCTACCTTTATTATCGTGCCATTACTGCTAATTAAAATCCCTTGGTTCACCCCCAAAGGAGTCCTCTCCCTTCCTTCCCCAGTGTGCACATCCTTAAAATAACTGCCAACCAGGATCGCCGCCGCTCTTAGTCACGGCTCAGCCAGCCAGCCCTGGCACACTCGCGGCTTGGTTTAATCTCTTCTAGTAAGTCTGAGTCCTCCTGAGTGTCTGGATGTCTTGGTCCTCTGACCAAGCCGGCGCAGGAGTTCCCTCTCATCCCGACTAGAAGCTAAAAATCCAGCAAGGCCGTTATTTCATGCTGCGTTATCATGGATAGGAGGAGCAAGCAGGGAGGGAAGGGAAGAGGCTGAGAGTCGGGCTTGGGAATCTGCTGGAAACGAAGCGCAAAGACAGAAGCAGCAAGACCCACGGGGGGGTGGGGGGGGTGGCCGCTGCCACAGCATCGCTGGGCTGCGCCGAGCAGCAGGGACCTGCTGCGGCTTCCTCACAGCCGCTGCCTGCGCGGGCACGGGCAGAGAACGGGTTCACCACGGGCACCCCCCGCACCCTTCTCCCCCTCCCGCAGGCGCCGGAGCTCCCGGGAGGGCGTTCAGCCCTGCTCCTCGTGTCACAGCCCTACGTGGGAGCACCCTCTGCCCCCAGCTCCCCCGGGGGAGATGAGTTTCCTTCTGCAGCCTGTTTATCCCCTCGGCGGGTCCCTCGGTCCCCACCTCCCCTGCAGGGTTCAGACCCAACAGAGAGGAGCTGACCCGAGCAGCCTCCTCCCCGCGGAGCGTCCGCTCCCAGCTCCGCAGCAGGACCCGCAGCAGAGCGGTGCCTTCCCGCCGCAGCAGCCGTTGCCAGTGAAGTCGTTCCCTTGACCCGTGCATACCATAGGCAGTCGAGATAGTGGAGCTGATAGCGGGATCGTGTTGGAACATTGCACACCGAATTCCTGCGCCTTTTTTCTTAATTCCATTGTGTCTGGAGCTGCTGGAGCCTCGTCCACGCCCTGCTGGTGGAAGGCTGTGGAAAGCCTCCAGTGGGCTGGCTGCAACGGGCTTGGGAGCAGGCTGATGCTGAGGTTGCTTTCCTACTTCTGGCAAGCCAAAATATCCACGCTCTTCTGCCCAGCTACTCGGATAAAAACACAGATGTTTGTGGCTCAGAGGTAGAGTGTACTGAGCCGTGTGTGCCCCCTGCTCATCTCCAGGCCGCTGCTGTCGGAGAGGCACCTCCCTGAAACACGGTAAAGTGCCACAGAGGGTGTGAAGAGGGGGGCTCATTTTCTGTAGATGCTCCTGAAGGTTTTTCCCTCCTCTTTACAACCGCCTCCACCCCAACGAGCTTCAGACAGCGACCGGCGAGGGAGAACCTACCTCCTGCCCCACCAATTATTTCCACCCTCCACATTCAGCTAGCATCAGACAAAGCATTTCACCTCCCCCAGTGCCCACGCTCCAGCTGCAAGATCTACACAGCAACTGGCACCAGTTCCGCGTGGCAGTGTCCCACTGGCTGAACACTGGGACGCAGACCAGTTTGCTGTGGGTGGCTGCTGGACAGCCGTCTATCGCAGAAGGAGTATCCCACCTGGGCTTTGAACCTCCCCAGCCTCTCCATCACAGGCCGATTGCTCCCCGAAGCAGCAGGCAAGGCCCTGGCCGTGGCGCAGACCCCCCCTGTGCCCGTGCCCGGGTCAGGGAACCCCCCTGCCTGCTTAGCTCGGGGGTTTGTCCGTCTGTCCCCAGCTCCACGGGCTCCGTGCAAGCCCAGGCAGCTGCCCCACACCGGGGGCTCGAGCCCCCGCGTCCTTTTGCAGCCAGGCCACGGGGGGCCAAAGACCCTATTAACGCTTCCGCCGGCTCTGGCGCACACGACAGCGTCTTAGAGGGGAGGCAGCACCGATCCGCCGCAAAGCCGACTTGAGAAAAATACTAATTATCTATCAGTTACCAGCTGGCCGGCGTGGCGAGGGGCTGCCTGTGAGAAAACAGCCGCGATCGGCTGGCGGCTCGAGCGTGTACGGGCAGCGCCGGGGAACCGAGAGTCCTGAGAGCTCCCAGCAAACCGGCAGGCTGCCGGCGTGCCCCGGCTTGCCGCGCCGCAGCTCCTGGTCCTCCTGCCAGCCCCGGCGAAGCAGCCTACCAGAGGGGGGCTTGGAACCTGCAGGGAAAACCTTGCTTTTCAGCATCTGCCCGTTGCTCTCTGCTGATAAGAAGGCCATTAAAAATGAAAAGGGAGGCGGCGGCAGCCTGGAGGGCTTCCCGCAGCACAGGCCGGCGCGGCCGCTTCGGTTCAGGGTTTGGGGCAACGTGTGGTGCTCACAGAGCCCAGCCCGGGAGTCGGGATGTCCAGCATCACCCACCCGCTGCCCAGCACCCCTCTGTGAGGACAGACCTGGGTCTGGTAACGTGAGCCCCAAACCCCCACCTCAAGGCTTTGCCCCGTCTCCGTTTCACCCATTTCCTAACTATAGAAATTCAGCATTTTAAAGCATTTTAAGAGAGAACGGATGATGATCCTCTGGTTGGATTCCCCGCAGCGCTGGCCTAAGTCCCCTGCCTACTCCTTCTGCACTGAGCCAGCAGTGTCTGCTTGAGGTACAGCTTATCTTCCCAGAGATATGCAGACTCTTCATTTGAATACTTCAGGAGTTGGAGAATCCACTGCATTCCTTGGTAAATTGTTCCTATAGTTAATTATCATCACTGTTAAAAAATTTCCACCTTGTTTCTAGTCTGAATTTGCCTGGCTTCAGCTTCCAAGCACTGGCTCTCATTATGCCTTCTTCTGTTAGATTAAAGAGCTGTCTGCTATCAGAAACCATCTCCCGTGCAGGCTGCGATCAAGCCACCCTTACTCTTCCCGTGGAGACCTTTCATGCAGAATGTTTCTCTGGTATCGCCCTACAAGGCATCTGTTCCAAATCTTTCATCTTCCTTGGATCTCTCTCCCAAACCTCTTCTGTTTTGCCAGCAGCGGGTCTGGAGTGTGGACACGAGACCTGTGTGTGGACACGAGGGCGGTGGGCTCGCTGGTACTGCCCCCCTGCCCGGGTGATGCTCGCCGGCCCCGCAGAGCAAGCCAGCTCGCCTCCAAATGGCCTTTGGCCAGGAGCCCGGGGCTCCTTAGGAGCCTCCTTTCCTAAGCACGGGAGAATGGATAACGCCAAGTCTCCCAGAGGAACAGCCAGAGGGATTCAGTCAAAACCTCTCAAAAACAGGAGTCTGTTGCACTTCGCGCTTCCACCAACCAGAGCTTACGACGGGATCAAAAACCTCCGCCAAATCGCTTGACAGGCCGACTCGCATCGAACTCTTTGGTTTGGCATTGCCGGTGCGGCAGCTGTCAGTTCCTCCTTGGCTGGAGTCTCCGTGCTCCGACCCCAGATTGCCGGAGGCCTCTGGAGCGGAGGGCTGCGCGCTGCTCCCCACGCTGCCTGGCCAGGCGGCTCCAACGAACTTGTGGTCAACGTTTGCAGCAGTCCCGGCGTAAATTATGTGGTGCAGTTAATCTTAAAAGTATTCAACAGCCACGAGGCTTCCCTAGCTACGGGTGAAAGAGCAGTGCTGCTTCTTTCAAAGTGCTGAATCAAACCACGCGGGTCCTTTAGCGCACCAGGATGGTTAGTTGAGCTGCCCTTGGCTGGACCCTCTCCGGGCTCTCGGGTGTCACTGTCCCCAGCCCTCCTGACCATCCATTTAACCGGAATTCCCAAGGGCCTGCAGTTCCTAACAGCCTTCCTGGGCTTACCTGTACGCTGCTACCTACGTGTTCACACCTTACGTAGAGAATCACACGGTGTACATACGTTGTTATTTGTACATTGACTGACTAGCAATGCATAGAGCATGTTTTTCTGCAGAATTCCTTCCCCCGTTTAACCAGGACAGACTTCCGAGCGCGGCGGTGGCAATGCAGAGCTCAGGGTGAGCAGGAGGAAGGCAGCAGCCCCGTCTTCCCGCACTAAAGGTGCTGCTGCGTGGCTGTGGGACCCAGGAGAATCTGCCCGTCGCCGCAGCAGGACCGTCCTTCGTGTGGCAACCTCGGCGAGCGGACAGTCCGCACCCACGTGGGCAGCCCTGCAGAAATTGCTGTTTGAAATGAAACATCGCCTGCTGCTGACCCACTTCTGTCCTGGGCGAGGCTCGGCTTCAGCGCAGGGCAACGTGGGCTGGGCGGCAGCCCCGCAGCCAGCCTGTTTTCGGGGGCTGCAGCGTCGCTGCGGTGCAGAGGCCGCACATCTCGCTGCCTGCCGTGCCACAGACCAAAGCCAGTTCAGGCATTTAGCTCCTCTGCTCTGCCCCACTTGCCAGGAGCTCCCCCCTTGCAGTCCCACGCTTGGCAGCCTCAGCTCCCAGACCTGGCATCCCCCGCCGGTGCTTATGGCCACCTGTTAGGCTAACCAGGCATCTCTTGAGTCCAGCTGCAACCTCGGGGCCAGGAGGGGTCTCACAGCATCCATGGGGCACTGGCTGCTCCGACGTACGAAGGAGACCTTAACGCAAAGGCTTGAGAAATACAGCACCCCTGTCCTGCATGGCACAGCTCGCAGGAGGCCGCAGCAGCGCGGGGAGATGCTGAGGCAGCCTGGGCTCGGGTAGGTCAGAGCTGTGGAAGGATCCCAGGGAGGGCTCCGGCGAGGGAAGGGGCTGTCACGGGCTCCCTCACCGCGCGAGGCTGCCTCAGGGAGCCTCTTGCTGCTCCCTCTGCTCTTCTGGGGACGACCAACCAAAAAGACCTTAGTGGCTTTCTCAGCTTACTCCCTGCAGCTGCAACAGGCGTCGCCTGGGACCAGGGGAGGGTATCTCCCTACTGCTGATTAAAGTGAGCACAGCGCGGATCTTTAGTAGGTGCTCGCTCCAGACCTGCCCGAGGGACGTGCCCGTCCTGCAGCACCCAACCGCTGTCCGCATCCTCCCGAAGCCGGCCCCAGCACTGACACCTCCTGGCCCCCGGGACAGCTGGGGGAGACACCCCGCATCGGGGCACCTCCGGTTCCTGTTCCGCGCTTCCGCGGCGCGGGAATGCCTCCTTCCCCTCTGCGGGTCCTGCGCAGCTTCGCTTGTGACGGACGTGAGTTATCCCCCGACAGGGACAGGATGGGGCTGGAGTCACATCCTCCCCTGAGAACCTCCAGTTGATTCAAACACCTAACAAAACTCATCCTTTAGCAACATCTTGCAAGGCAAGACAGTGGTAAGGAGCGAAGACTGAACCACTCCTCCGAGGACAAGTCATTTAATAGTGGCGCCACTCCCAAGCCCCTGGTCAGCGCGACTCAGCAGCGAAGCTCCGGTGAGCGGACGCGGGGAAGCTGCTGCAGCCGGGACTTCGGCCGCGTTCCAACGCCCGCTCACTGCGGCTCACTGTGGTTCGCTGTGGCTCGCTGCCGGCTTGCTGTGGCTCACTGTGGCTCACTCACTCCACCCGCCCCTTGGGCTTTGCGGGAGACACAGCCCCGGCACTGCAGCGGCTGCCGTCACCCGTCCCCTCCTGCACCCTCTCGCCACGGCACACCGGGAGCAGCCCCGGCGTGGGGTCTGCCTGCACGAAAGCACCTTCTGTCTACTGCGGGAAGGGCTGTCTTGGCAATTAAACACATCAGCTTCCCAAACTAAAAGTCATTATCACACCTAGGGCTGATATATCGCTCCTGGTCTGCTCTGCCCGTTTCATGACAACATCAAACCGCAGCCGCGGAGGAAAGCCCGCTGCTCCCTCGTTGTGCCCGTTGCCTCGTCCCAGCCTTTCTGCCCTGCTAATGTTTCCCGGAGGAGAGAAGTGCCTGCCCCAAGCGTGTGGGTGAGTGGCTCAGGGAGGCACCCGCCGCAGACCACCGGCACCAGCCGCAAGCACCGTTTCTCCTAAAAACCAGGGACAGTGCTACACTAAGCCAGGAGCCAGGATGTGCATTTAGAACGTTTTGCCCCAAGCAGCCCTTGTACGCTCTGCCCGGTGCCTGGGTCCGAGACCCGCAGAGGACTGCAGGCGTGCGGTCAGACCAGTGGCAGACACAACCTGCTTCCCAGGACCAGGCTGCTGCCCCAGGGCGCCGGCAGCAGGATGCTGGGCAGCAACCCCGCTGTGATTAAATAACCCAACTCTGTTATTTTGCCGTGATTTCTAGAGATTAAGTTGCTCTTCTGGTACGAGATGAAAAAGGATTGCAAATGACAGGCAAGAATTACAGCAAAGCTGAGAACGGCCCCGGTAGATGCGAGCAAAGGTCTGTCTCACCCACTGCCTCCCCTCTGACAGCGGTCGCTGGCAAACATGCGGGGAAGCACCATGAGAACAAGGCAGGTACTTCCCCGGGACATTTCTCCAGCTTTGTGATTTTTGGTGACATTTACCCAAAACGCGAATTACCTGCAGGGAACCGCTGGGAGAGAAGTTACACTCAAACTGCTGTGCTTAACACCCCTTTTGGAGGAAATCCCTGAAAAGCAAGCACTGACGTTTCCTGCAGGCTTTGCTTTCCAGGGCCACCCGTGCAGGCAAAGTCCCCATCGGGTGGTGGCTGCGTCCTGCAGCCGCCCCGCACCAACGTACCCTCTGCTCGGGGGCTCGCGGGCGCGACCGCTGTCGGTGGTAGGAAGCATCTTCCCAGGGAAGGCAGGCAAGAAGACATGCAACTTACTGTCCAGGTGGCTGACTTGGCGGTGCTGGATTGCTGGAAGGTCACCTCAAAGTGGTGGGGGCCAGGGTAGTCGGTGTTGGAGGGGATGACGGGAGCTGGGGACATGGCGTCGAAGGTCGAGCTGGGCTGCGAGTAGGGCGAATGCGTTGGGACATTGGAGGTGTGCTCGGAGCTGTAGGGGCTGGTGGAGGCTGCTCGGCTGCCGATGCTCTGATCCATGCTGTTGTTCAGCAAATTGAACTGGGACTGGAGGAAGGGAAAAGGGGAGGAGGGAAAAAAGAAAACACCAGCCAGTTTAGAGACATGGAAACCTCAGCCACACTTCTTCAGGGCTCCAGGTGTCCTGTTACAGCCTCCTTAAAGGGCCAGCATGCGGGAACGCCAGCCAGAGAGCGGGTCTGGGTCGCGCGGGTTTCCGAGCAGGTCACCGCTTGTGCAAGGGATAAATTCAAAGTGCTTAAATCACCCCCTCCTGCCCGCCCCCACCCTCCCGGGG